CTTTATCTCTCACCCTTAATTTCATGGTATTATCATCCACCCTCTATATTCTAACTAAGCATTTCCTTCATAATCCCCAAGAAATAGCAAAACCACTGAAAATAAACATTTCAATCTTAGGTTTACTGTTGAAAGAAGTGTGCTGTTTGTGCCTCAGTTTATTATTATAGAGCCAAATTCCCAGTGAGGAAGCAGCATGAGCTGGAATTCATGCCCTTCATTTGGAAAGATTGCAAATCATTGACATGCTTTTTTTTTTTTTTTTGCTAAATATTTTAGAAAATTATAATTCTCTTTATGCTGTAAAGGGATCTTAAAATGACGGGGATATATTTGTACTCTCCATGACAGTGTACACATTCCTTCTCTTAGTTTAGTACAAAAATAGTACTTAAGGAAATTCTGCGGAATAATAGAAATTCTAAGTAACTACTAGAGTTGAGATTTTTCATAAAACAAAATGTACGAACTTTTATTGTTGTTTGTTCGATTTGAGACAATGTAGCTCTGTTGCCCAGGCTGGAGTGTAGTGTCGTGATCTCGGCTTACTGCTTCCTCCACATTCAGTTTCAAGACATTCTCCTCCATCAAACTCCCAAGTAGCTGGGAGTACAGGCAGACGCCGCCACATCCGGCTTATTTTTGTGTTTTTAGTAGAGACAAGGTTTCGCAATGTTGGCCAGGCTCGTCTCCAACTCCTGACCTCCAGTATCTGCCTGCCTTTGCTTCCCAAAGTATGAACATTTTTAAACATTTAAAGTTGACCTTGCCATTCAGTAATGTTAAAATTCATCAGGGTCCTGAGTAATTATAATCTGTATTTATCTGCCCACATTGTTTACCAGGTGCATCTTCTCCAGCAAGTTCTTCAGCATCCTTTCCAGAAGCATTCAACAGCCAAGGAAGCAGGCTACACCTCATCTACTCCTTCCTGGGCTAAAGATCTCAAACTTAGTTGCTTAATTCGGGAAAAATAAATTACAAATGAATTAAAGAATTCTTCTATCATTACACACAACATAGAATAATCTGTTTAAGAAATTATTTTTGATCATCTACATTTTCATGTCTATCCCACATTTGGTAATAATGATTATATGCAAATATTTTTAGCCATCTAAATTGGAACATATTCTTTGAAACAACTTCATGATGATTTTTGTTCTAATCCGTAAGTTTAATGGAATAATAAGGTGTTTTTGATAAACCACATGAGTTATTCTCAATGATTACAAGATCTTATGACATTGTAATCAAAATGGATCATTAGAGCCTGGCGTGGTGGCCCACGCCTGTAATCCCAGCACTTTGGGAGGATGAGGCAGGCGGACCACCTGAGGTCAGGAGTTCAAGACCAGCCTGGCCAACATGGTGAAATCCCATCTCTACTAAAAATGAATAAATAAATAAACAAATAAAATTAGCTGGGTATGGTGGCGGGCGCCTGTAATCTCAGCTACTCAGGAGGCTGAGGCAGGAGAATTGCTTGAACCCGGGAGACAGAGGTTGCAGTGAGCCATGATAGCGCCATTGCACTCCAGCCTGGGCAACAGGATTGAAACTCTGTCTTAAAAATTGGATTATTAAATATTGATCTAATATTTACTGTAAACTCAGCACTTTGGGGTACATCTGTGCATATTTAGTTTTATTATGCTCCTAGAGTTTTTTTTTTTTTTTCTGTTATAGAATTTTCAAAAATTTACTAAGGTAGAGAAAATTGTAATAGTTTAATGAACCAATTTACCATTTAATCCGCTTACTAACAATTAATACATTGCCAATTTTGCTTCATCTACACCTCCACACACTTTCCCCATATTCCTCATTATTGCCTTAATTGAGGCATTCGTACACTGAGTACATCGTATTTTTCTAATGATTTCATTAATAGAGCAGCTTTCTTGATGCAGCCCTTTTCACATGTTACTGGTATTTACCGTCTTTCATCAAATATGTCTTTAGAGTCGACTCAAGGCAAGATGTGGTAGAGAAATGTAAGAATCAACTAGCGGAGCCATTTAACTAGTAGGTGAGACACATATCCTCATTTTTTTGGAAATTCAGGCATTTTATTATTTCCTCTGCAAATATTTCCATATGCATCTCTAAATGTTAATGACTTAAAACACAAACAGTCCTTGACATCATATGACCTAGAGCAAATTAGCAGTAACCCTTAATGTATCAAATGAAGTATTCAGTTTTCAAGGTTTTCCTATTGTCTTGTAAATTATTATCATCATCCTTATCTTATAGTTATTTTATCTATTTATTTTTGAGACGGAGTCTCACTCTGTTGTCCAGGCCGGAGTGCAGTGGCACGATTTCGGCTTACTGCAATTTCTGCCTTCTGGGTTCAAGCAGTTCTTTGCCTCAGCCTCCCAAGTAGCTGGGATCACAGGCGCCTGCCACCACGCCTGGCTAATTTTTGTATTTTTAGTAGAGAGAGGGTTTCACCATCTTGGCCAGGCTGGTCTTGAACTCCTGACCTCGTGATCCACCCGCCTCAACCTCCCAAAGTGCTGGGATTACAGGCATGAGCCACCATGCCCAGCCTCTTATAGTTATTTTAATTGGGATCCGAATAAGGAGTATACATTCAAATTAGATGATAATATGTCTTTAATTTCCTTTGATATCCTTGAGTATATCACCTACATGTGTACCTACATCTTTATTCACTTGCATTCTATTGGCTCCTTTAGTTTTGATTGAAGAAACCAGATTATTTATCCTGTGGTGTTTCAACACTCTGCATTTTTCTGATTGCATTCTGTGGTATTATTTATTGAACCTAGGATATAGTTTGGATGTCCCCTCCAAATCTCGTTGATATGGTTTGGCTCTATGTCCCCACCCAGATCTCATCTTGAATTATGACCCCCATGTGTGGACGCAGGGACTTGGTGGGAGGTGATTGGATCATGGGGGCAGTTCCCCCATGCTGTTCTTGTGATAGTGAGGGAGTTCTCATGACATGTGGTAGTTTAATAAGTGTCTGGCATTTCCTCTTTGCTCTGTCTCTCCTGCTGCCATGTAAGATGTGCCTTGCTTCTCCTTCACCCTCTGTGATGGTTGTAAGTTTCCGGAGGCCTCTGCAGCCATGCATAACTGTGAGTCAATTAAAACTTTCTTTATAAATTACCCAGTCTCAGGTAGTTTCTTTATAGCAGTGTGAAAATGTACTAATATACTCATGTAGAGATATAATCCCCAGTGTTGGAGGTGGGGCCTTGTGGGAGGTGTTTGGGTCATGGGGACAGATTCCTCATAACCTGGTGCTGTCCCACTGACAGTGAGTGAGTTCTCAGGAGATCTGTTGTTTAAAAGTGTGTGGCACCTCGCCCACTTGCTCTCTGGTCCCAGTTTCTCCATGTGAGAAGCCTGCTCCCACTCTGCCTTCTGCCAAGAATGGAAGCCTCCTGAGGCCTCCCCAAAAGCTGAGCAGATGCCAGCACCATGCTTCCTGTAAAACCTGCAGACCTGTGAGTCCAGTAAACCTTTTTTCTGTATAAATGACCCAGCCTCAGGTATTTCTTTACAGCAACAGAAAAACACCTAACACAACACGTGTCTGTACCCCCTGTGTTTCTGTAAATACAGAGCTTCAGTCAGATTCAGAATTGATTTATTTGTCAAAAATAATCGAAATACCAAGCAAACATCTGCCTCAGTGAATGGCCACTATTTCTTCTACAACTATATTTATGTGCCATTTGAATTTCACTTTGTGTTATCCCTTTTCTTTTTTCTTTTCTTTTCTTTTTTTTTTTTCAGTTTCATATTTGTTGACCACTTCCCTCTTTTGATTATTCATTTTTGTAAAATGTCACATGGATTTCTCACTGGGAGACAAGGAGGCAAGACAATGACATGCTTTGCTCTCTGTATAAACTCAGTAACAAATATGCAGTGATTGGCAACCTCATACTTTGAAAGAAATGATGGGTCACTGATCATGATTGCATCCGTTATTTATGTTGTGATTTGTGGACTGAAGAGGTCACACAAAGTTTATACTTTATGTAATTACTCACAGTTGAAATAGCATGGCAACTGAATTTGGAACCATGTTGGGGAACTCACGTTATTTAATTAAATCGTGGTTATTGGAACTAGGTGGAGCAGTGATGACCTGTACGTCTTTTTTTCCTGATGCTTTCTTTTATACCTGCAATAAACATTTACAATTTTTCCTTATAGACTTTGAAATTGTCTATCAATTCTGAAAATATTTTAGTTCTTGTTGCTCTTCTGAATCACCTTTTGTACTACATTTTATAAATGAGCTTCACTGACATATAGTATACAGGACAGTTTTTAGTTTCTATAATTAATAGCTTTTAATAGATTGCTTGACTTTGTTTTTAAATTTTAAGTAGATACATCATCTAAGGATTTAAAAATCTGTCTTTTCCATTTAGATATTTGTTATCTTATTGGTTTTGCTGTTGTGTGCATTGGCTAGAAACTCCAGGATAATGTTGAATAATATTAGTTATAATACTGACTTTAACGGTGTATTAGTCATGTCTCTTATTTTCTGAATTTGATGCTTTGACATCTGGGCCTTGTTGACCCTGGAGGGACTGCGCCTCTCAGGATAAGCTAATTGCTGGATGTAATAAACCACTTGCCTGCACGTATGCCTTTCCTATATATCCAACCAACCCAGAGTTTATACCCCCTTCTTTCTCGTCTCTTCATCACTCTTTATTCTTCTTTATCTCTGTTTATCTCTTTTGTAGTCTTTATTCTTCCTTATCACTCTTACATTTCTGGCCACTATTCTGCTTCCCTAATTTCCTCAGGGCCAGATAGTAGCCTCTTCTTTCCAGAAGCCAATGAAATTATTCAAACTAGCCAATGCCAAGCCTGATTGCCTTGACTTGCTTGTTCCTTCCCATGGCACTGCAATAAAGACTCTTTCCCATGATTTCTCCTGTTCCCACTGCCTCCTGACTGACCTTGATGTTTCCCTGTCCTGTCCCTTGTGGTGTGCTGTGCCTCCAGCTTCTAAGGAACTGTGAGTAGTAAAATAAACTACTTCCTTCATGACAGTCATTTCTGTGTTTGTGGGTCTTACCATTACTGAGTCAAACAAATCCTGGGTACTATGAATGTAAATGACATTCCTGTTTGTGCTTTATTATTAAATATGTCCTTTGCTGTGGTTTTAGACAACTTTTATCAGTATAAAAACATCTTCCTCAGATGCTAGCTTCTTATGAAATTTTAATTTTCTTAACAAGGTGTGGTGTTGAATTTCAATAAAAACCTTTTTGCCATTTATTGAAATAATTGTTTTTTCTCCCATGAGTTTTTCCAATAAAAAATAATACTGATTGAACAATAGGTTAAAATTAAAGTTTCATCAAAGACCACCAGAATATAATAGCTCTGAAAGTCCAAATCACCATATGTAAGTTTTCATAGCAAATATCTGAGAACCTGCTCCACAACTGTTAATTCCCCTCATTTACTTTAACAATATGAAGGGATGTGGAGTGGAGAAGACTGCAGGGAACTGTTGCCTCGCACTCTCCCCTATCTTGCCTTTGATAGTCCTATGTAGGGAGAGGACAATAATGCAAACTCTTAACCCTGGGTTTAGAGGAGGAATCCTTAGGGGTTCACCAGGACAACTGAACAAAAAACTCCTGGAACTAATAAGCAGTTACAGCAAGGATGCAGCATACAGGGTTAATATAGAGAAGTCAATTGCAATTGCTCTTTTTAATACCAGCGATGAGCAATTGGAAGTTGAAGTTAAAAATATACCATCTATGTTCACATTCCTCCCTGCAAATGGAATACTTAGGTATAAATCTAACAAAATATACAAAAGATCTAGTAGGAAACCTACAAATTTTTGATTAAAGAAATCAAAGAAGTACTAAAAAAATAGAGAGATATGCCATGTTCACAGATAGGAAGGCCTAGCATTTGTGAAATGTCAGTTCTTCCCAACTTGCTCTATAGATTCCATGCAATTCCCATTGAAATCTCAA